CATAAATAAAATTAAATAATTTATTTTTCAAACACAAATACTATGATGGGTTTTTTAAATTTACTTATTTATTTTTTAGTTGTAGATGGACACAAACTTTATTTTATTTGTTTTTATTTTTATGTGGTCCCAGGGATCAAACCCAGTGCCTCATTCATGCTAGAAAGCTCTCTCCCACTGAGCCATAAACCCCGGCCCCTATGATGTTTTTGACATTATAAATGGTGAATGTTTTTCATGTCAGTAATCAAAACATGTAGTTTATAATGTTCTTCAAAAAACTATTATAGCTGGGTGTTGTAGCTCATGCCTATAATCCCAGTGTCTTGGAAGGCTGAGGCAGGAGGATCTGAGTTCAAAGCCAGCCTCAGCAATTTAGCAAGGCCCTAAGCAACTCAGCAAGACACTATCTCTAAATAAAATATAAAAAAATGTTGGGGATGTGGCTCAGTGATTAACTACCTCTGGGATCAATTCCTGGTACCAAAAAAAAAGAACTATTATAGCCAGGCATGGTGGTATGTGCCTATAATCTCAGCCACTCTGGAAGCTGAAGGTTGCAAGTTTGAGGCCAGCCTCAGCAACTTAGCAGGGCCCTAAGCAATTTAGTGGAATCTTATCTCAAAAAATAAAATGGGCTGAGGATGTAGCTCAGTGGTAAAGTTCCCCTGACTTTAATCCCTAGTATAAAAAAATCTGTAGTTTCTGACTGAAATAGTATGAGCTCATTGTAAATAAATCAGAAAATACAAAAACAGAAAAAAGTGCCCATAAGCCTACCACCCAGGGTTTATTCTAAGCATACATACACACAACATTGGGTTTAATATTTGTACATATATGTTTCAGATATTTTTTGCATTTGACTGGTAGAGCTCAATATTTTTATGTCAGTAATTATGCCCATAAATCATTTTTTTTTTTTTTTTTTTTTTTTTTTTTTTTTTTTGACATACTAGGGATTGAACATAGGAAAACTCTACCACTGAGCTACACTTTTTTAGTTTTTCATTTTGAGGCAAGGTCTCACTAAATTGCCCAGACTGGTCTCAAATTTGCAATCCTCCTGCCTCAGCCTCTCAAGTAGCTGGGATTACAGGCATGCACCATCACACCTATCATGTGTTATCATTTTTAATAGTTGAAGTCTATTCCATTGTGTGGATGAATCATAATTTAACCAATCCTTATAATCATTTTGTTTGGGTTATTTTTTTTTCCTTTTGACAACACTGTGATGTATCCTTGGACACATTGTTGCATATTTTTCTATTACTCTCTAAGATAAACTCTTAAAAGTATAATTGATAGTTCAAACATATGAAAATTTTTCAGACTTTCCATACATATTTTCAAATTTTTAAAAAATGTTTTCTTGCTGGGCGCAGTGGCACACGCCTATAATCTCAGCAGTTCAGGAGGCTGAGAGAGGAGAATCATGAGTTCAAAGCCAGCCTCAGCAAAAGTGAGGCACTAAACAACTCAGTGAGACCCTATCTCTAAATAAAATACAAAATAGAGCTGGGGATGTGGCTTAGTGGTTGAGTCCCCCTGAGTTCAATCCCTGGTACTCACCCTCCAAAAAAAAAAAATGTTTTCTTGCCAGGAGCAATGGCACAGACCTGTAATCTCAGCGATTTGGGAAGCTGAGACAGGAGGATCAAGAGTTCAAAGCCAAACTCAGCAACTTAGCAAAGCCCTAAGCAATTTGGTGAGACCCTGTCTCAAAATAAAAATTAAAAAAATGGGGTGAGGGGCTGGGGATGTGGCTCAGTGGTTAAGTGACCCTGGGTTCAATTCTCAGTACCAATAATAATAGTAATAATCAATTTAAAAAATAAAAAAAATATTTTATCATTTTTAATTTCCTTAGTTAATAGTGAAGGATATTTTTTTCTCCATATTATTAGCCTATGATATTTTTGTAAACTTCCTGTTCATTTCCTAAAATTGATTTGGCCATTTATGTATTAAGAGTATTAATTGCTTTCTAATATTTTGTAAATATTTTTCTCCTAAACTGGGTATGGCAGTATGTGCCTGTAATCCCAGCTGCTCTGGAGGCTTAAGTCAGGAGGATTACAAGTTTGAGACCAGCCTAGACAACTGAGCAAGGCTGTCTCAAAAATAAATATGAAGGGAAAATAAATAAATAATTTTAAAAGGATTTAAATTAAAAAATGAATAAATAAATAAGAAGGGGTTGGGATATAGCTCGGTGGTAAAGGGCCCCCGAGTTCAGTCCCCAGTATTAAAAAAAAAAAAAAAAAAAAAAATTCTTGTAAATCAGTTAGTGTTGAAAATACTGGTTTGAATATGAGTTTATACATTAAATATTTACCATCAATGTGAAATGCTGTAAAGTGGAATTAGAGAGTCTAAAGCTGAAATCACCATATATCTAGTATGAGACAGTGATCCTACATCATTAAGTTTAAAATGAGATTGTTTCACACTTTGTCAAGTTCCTTAGTAATAGAAATGTTTTAATTCTGTTTTTTATAAGCACCAAGACTAATGCCATTGACTCCTTGAGAATTTATTTCTTCATGTCCAAAACTTGTTTTTTTGTTCCTAGATTTTTTAGTGGTGCTTTATAGTTGTACATCATGATGGGATTTGTTATTCACATATTCATACATGTACACAATGTAAAAACATAATTGGGCCAATATCACTCCCCAGCACTTCCCCCTACCTCCCACCTCTGATCCCTTTCCTTACTGACCTCCCTTTGATTTTTATGAGATTCCCTCCTCCCACCCCTTTCTTTTTATTTTCCCTCGGTAGCTTCCACATATGAGAAAAAATATAAAACCCTTGACTTTTTGAGTTTGACTTATTTTGCTTAACATAATGGAGAGATGCGTTTTTATTGATTTAATATCTTCAGCATTCATTCTTAGTAGCCAATTTAATTACTTGAATCTTTGTCTAGAATCCTGGTTTCTTCCTTTTCTGAGGAGCAGCTGAACCGATATGAAATGTATCGCCGGTCAGCTTTCCCTAAGGCGGCCATTAAAAGGGTAAGGATGAACCACCACCCTTCATCTCCACACGTCAAAACTAAACCAGGCTCAATAGCTATGACCCTCAGCATTTTGAAGCAACATATTCAGCAAACTGGTGGATTAATTAGGCAGGAAAATAAAAATAACATACCCTTCAATTATGTGATCAGTTCCAGTTTTGTAAGCCAGGGAGCATAGAGAGCAAGTCATAACATACATGAATCTTTGTCTCAATTTTAGCATGCCACCTTTAGTAAACACCTTTTCAGTACAAAGCTGTTTTTTATTGGTACTGTATTCCAAAGCCAGTCCTTGACTATCTTAATTAGTTTTGTCCTTTTTTTAAGCTGATCCAGTCCATCACTGGCACCTCTGTGTCCCAGAATGTTGTTATTGCTATGTCTGGTATTTCCAAGGTTTTCGTCGGGGAGGTGGTTGAAGAAGGTGAGTAGTGTTGGTTACATGTACAGGACTGTACCTGTGTTAGTCTTATTTTCAAGAACATTTACACTGAGGAACTTACCAAAGTACCCGTGGGAGTTAATTTGCATTGGAAGTTCACTATACTGGAAGCCTTATATTCAGTAGAGCTTGACCACTATTTCTTAAAAGTTCAAATACTAGGGGTCAAGGAATCATCTAGGAAACACCTCTCCCTGATTCCTGTTCTTAACCCAGGGTGACAGAAGCAGATGTTGTATTATTCACATGCAGACCTCGTTTCTGCTGCCAAAAATATACAAAAAGAGCAGTCACCAGAACTGAGCAGTGTAGTGTGGTAAGTTATCCCTGATTTTGTCACCCCTGGGAACTGCTCTTTTCTATCAAGCTAAAAACCTGGCTACTTCCCATTGCTCATCTCTAGCTCATGACATCTTTCTTTAAGCAGGAGATGTTTTAAACGGTTGCCTATGATAAAGCTCAGTATGGGACATTATACTAAAGGAACATGATATACTTGGCTGCATTCTCTTCAGAATGGAAAATGTTAGTAAGCCTAAGAAGGGTTACCAGGAATTAAAGACTCTGGAGGATTATGTGGTGAATGAGTAAGTTCTCGTGTGATAATGAAGCTTTCCCCTTTCCCTTTTTAGCGCTGGATGTGTGTGAGAAGTGGGGAGAAATGCCACCACTACAACCCAAACACATGAGGGAGGCAGTTCGGAGGTTAAAGTCAAAGGGGCAAATCCCCAACTCGAAGCACAAAAAAATTATCTTCTTCTAGACCAAAGCCTGGAAAAGCCAATTATGGACAGGAGTACTGGTTCCAGACTTCCTGTTATGTGAGACTTTCAGCCCTGGTGCTTTGGTATCTGTCCTCCAAGGAATCCATGATGATTTTAATGTCTTTCTCCCATCTTGTTTCTGACACACCTAGAAGGCATGTGGCCTGCTTCATACTTGCCTTGACTAAATTTTAGAACCTCTTACAGCATTTTGAGGTATTTAACTGTCTCTTGGCTAGTTGGAAGAGAAGTGTATGAGCCTTCTGCATCTTCTGGAAAGGGGAGCTGCTTTCAGAGAGAGAAAACCTTTCCAAGAGAACTTTGATGGTTTCACATTGAAGCCTAAATTTGCTGAGACTTGGCTTATGTCTGGTTTTAAGTAGATGAAACAACCGAAACTTTTGACTTACAATTCTCTACTGTGAAGGACACAGTGATTACAGGAGTAGTGGAATAATTTGTGCTTGTTAATATTTAAGATTCTCCTGTGGATTTTGGTGAGTGATCATTAAATTTTTTCAACTTGCTGTATGTGTATTCATTTTGTATCAAGCTGATTGGAATGGGAATAAATTCATCACTTTTGGTTTTTTTTTTGGTGTCCAAATAAAACTGGTCTTGACTTTTTTGTGAAAATTTGTGAGCCCTTCCCATTTTCTATTAGAACCAGTATAATTTTTAAATCATGCAAGAGTACTTCAAACACTGTTAAAAAAAAAACATGTAAGAAAGCCCATGTGAATCAGACTCCTATAAACAGGTATGCCACAAACAATATCGTTTAATAAGTTTAATATGCTTTTTTTTTTTCCAGATGGTTCACAGAACCAGTACACTCAGGGTTTGATTAGATGTTGCAACATTAAAATTTCCCAATACTGACCAGGATTCCAGTTTGTTGCATACATTCTCATTGTTTTCCTCAAACAGAGGGGAATGGAGCGAGTGACCTTTCCTTGACAGTGATTAGCAGTAATAAGGCCACTGTATGTACTTGGCAATCCCCCAGAATTCTTTACATCTACCGTTCAGTGTCATAGGGAGAAGGATTTTGAGGCTGTTGTCTTTCAAAGCTTTCCTGAGCATGACTTTAAGATTCCAATTCTGTTTAGCACCCTGAGTGGGGGAAACAGCTTGAACTCATGAACTGGGACACATCTGACTTTTAGTATCTTACATTAAAAACTCACGGCTTTAAGCACATACTTAGCCAGTGAAGACATTTCTTCACAAAGAAATGCTACAAGTCAGGCTAAATCTTGACTAAAAATGAATAAACTGAGTAAAAAGACGTCTTTCCACTCTAACAGGAAATTTTTTTTAAACAGTTATAGGAACTTTACCTATCACCATTAGAGATATTGGATAAGCTGAAACGATAAATAACAAGTAAGGAAAATCAAAGTCCGGCCACTTAGCAAGGCCTCACTCTTGCAGGTTGTCTGAGTGTTTCCCCTAGTGCCACAGGAAACAAAATACTTTCCATAATATCTACTGTGCTATCCTACCAGAAATGAATGGAATATTCCTGTTCTGGCTGGGGGAACAATGAGGCAGAAGGCCCTAGTCTCTGAAAGGATGGTACATCACACCCGAGTCTCTGAAACAGTTAATGGGGGGAAAATCCCTAGTGTAAAGGTTTGAAATGGAAAGTTCCCATCTGGCAATACTTCAAACTATCTTCTACCACTCTGTTTCCCCCTAAGGAAGAATTAGTGTGCATTAGTTAAGTGGAAGCATTTAAGTTATGGGGTATGTTGGGGGAGGGTTATCCCTTGTATATTCCACATAGATACCATGCTTTCAGAACCATGGAAAAGGAGACACAAAGGTTGAAGCCATGGCAAAATGAAGGTCAAATGAAATATACAGCAAAAAGCAGCCATCACATGAATAGAACCACTCCTGTCTTAAAATCAAAAACTAAGTTAATTATTCCAGCGAGTTGAAAACAATTTGAGATTGCCAATCGTCCCTGCAGCCCAGTGAAGAGGATTTACACTCTAGTCTGTGTGCCCTAAAGCTTATCCCCAGTTCCTGCATGTAAACAAGAAATCTTGATGATCACAGATAATATAGTTGTTCCATAGCTGAAATGATGATGTGCAGTAGCCAAAGCCTCTGAGGGATGGTGGTGCTATCCTCCCGACATTTTCTTGAGGTACTATTATTTCTGGTTCAGTCTTGCAGTTCCAAAGCAGAAAGCATAAACAGTTCAAAAGGGCTGACACTACCTTTTCCTTGTTATTTTCTTTTGAACTTATTCTGAAGATTACCACTAGGTCATACTTCATTATGAAAAGGTTATCATCACCCAATGAATAAGAGTATAAAGTTACACGAGATAATTTTTACTAAAATTCCAACGAATAATGAATCCTACCACATTTTCTTGAGGGGTAATTTCAAGACAATGGCCCAAGCTGCCACATAAGTCAGAAATTCTAAGACTCCATTTATCACATGGACAAGAATTCCAGACTCCTTCAGAGAACCCAGAAAACACACAGCTCTGGCCATTAAGAGGTCAGCCTTGGTACTTGCTGGATGTGTTTCTACTTTAAGCTTAAGGCAAAGGTATACCAAGCAATGCCTACTAGACACATCTTTGCATGGAGGGATGCCAGAGGAATATAGAGGGCAAGGCAGGAAGCAGAGAAAGAGAATCAGAATGTGATTTTAAATGACTTCAGGGGAGCCTGAGGTTGAATAATTCTATTTTCTGGCTACTGAATCTCATCCCTCTAGTTTCCTCCAAGAACATCAGAAATGCACACTTGAGAGGACTAGTGATCTACTCAGCTCAACGTCCTGCCCTTGAAAAAAGCACTACAGGGACTTTGAGGAGGGATGTCACCTCTCAGTTGTTGATCACAGAACAGCCCCAGTTTCACATCATTCCCTTTGGGGGACAATCGTACAGGGATTCCTTTTAAGCCTTCTGCATTCACACTTAGATTCTGCAGGTGACCCTTCTTAAAACAATCAGGTTTCCCAATTCTTTTAACCAAGGTGATGAGGCAGAGCCTTAAAGCTAGAATTTCAGGACTGGATCCTTGCTCCCGCCTGGATACGTGAGCAAACACTCTGTTTTCATTCTTGTTGAACACAGTCCACATCTTAAAAGATGTGTCATGCAGAATATTTTTGCTATTCTCTGGACCTTTCCTCCCTTCACCGTATACTTGATAAATAAGGTCTCTAGAGATACACAGATCATTTAAGATGTACCCACAGTCTGCATGAGGTACAGTGGTGTTTGCACCCCTTCCTGGTCATGCTGAGGAGCTAGGCTCGGGCCACTGTAGCACATCGATCCCCGGCTCAGCAGTGCTTTGCTGGCGTTCCTGAGCTCACCGCCCCATCAACTGAACATTCTTCAGAAACCCATTCCCTCACACTGACTGTGCCAAACTTCACTTGACACTTTTTTGAGTATTCACAGCCCTGCTAGTTGTGATCTGTCCATGACTTTGTGGGGGTTTGTTGTCGTCTGTCTCCATCTCTTCTGGTCTACCTTTTATCGTATGGAAGCGGCAACATTTTATTGCATTGTCAAGACCTACATTTAGGTCGTTTATAAGAATCTTAACACTGAATCAATCACTGACCCTTAGGAAACTTCCCCTGCTAACATTCTCTCCAGAAAAATGTTTCTTTAGTCCCAAGTCTTTAATTTCTGTCCCAAGAATGACAAATTCCCACAATCTGATAGTAACTGATATTTTAAAATTTGCCTTAGTGGAGAAATTTAACTAAAGTCCTTAAAAGTCTCAACAAATTAGATCTTATTCCCATGTTTCTTTTTATCCTCAAAAAACCAGAGTATATAAATTAAGCATGATTTCCTATAAAAGAAACCATTTACTTCTCTTCCAATAGGTTATGTTCAATTAAGAATTCAGTGATATCACTACTTCACTATTTTACCATCTTGTTAAATCAAGGTGAGTTAGCTGATAACTTCTGTCAAATTGACACAGCCTGAACCATACCACAGAGGTAGGGATGAAGGCAGAGTTTTGAAGAATTAGGAAAGGGAAATCCAGATATATGGAAGGGGGTTTTTGCTGCTGCTGCTGCTGTTGCTGTTGTTTTTTACTTACATCAAAATTACATGATTTTTAAAAGCCATAGTAATAGAGGGGAGTGAGAGGCAACAGGTTGAGATGTTTATGTTAATTAAGATTTAAACACATTTTCAGTTCCCAAATGACCAAGTGCTCAGGTGAGCAAAATCAGGATGCTGGGAAAGAAGATGACCATGAACCTCAGGAAGACAGAGGAGTTGACTTCTCAGGTGCAACTGCAGAAGAGGGGCAGGAGCCTGGAGGGCTCAGGAGCCTAGAGGGCTCCCATATTTACCGTACCTCATCTTGCCCTCACCCTAGCTCAGAGTGAACATTTTTTTCTTGATTTAAATTTCAAATAAATTATGTTACAGAAAGGAAAGATGATATGGCTTAGTCACAACTGCTGTTTACTTTCTTCCACAGCATCACAATGATGAAATTAAAACAAAAGGAAGCTTGACCCTGAAAAATCTGATTGTAACATCTGCCAAGTTGATCTGAGCCTGATTCCCATTCCAAAGCAGGCAGAGTCCGGGTCTCCCTTATTCTTGTGCCTCTCTACCCACCCTCCCCTTGCTGAGCTATTTCCTGTTCTCTTCCACTATAAAGTTCTGGTCAACAACTTTTCAGGTCTGCTGCAGGAAGCTCTGGGACACGAGATCTTTGGTGGGTCTGTGGGTGGCTGAGGAAATGGGTACTTTCAATTGTTCACACAGGCTGTGAAGGAAGCAAAAATCTCCACCATGAAACCAAGAAATGAAATGGCCCTACCGTGTGGAGAAGATTCCACCTAGTGTGCAGAAGGCCAAAAGGCTTTAGCTTTATACAGGCAACAAATGATGCTTGAGCCACGTACAAAGCGACCCCAGTTTCCTGGGATGCAGTCAAGCTTTGCCCTATCCTCTATCCAAGCTAGAAAAGCTAGCGGAAAGTGCACCCAGGAGGCGTGCACAGAGCACACCCGGTCCCTCTTGCATCCTCAGCGGATCATTCCAGTGCTGGAAGACGCCCTCTGTCCCAGGTGGTGCTACTGCTGGTGATCTCTTCTCTCCTTGGCACAGACGGCTGAGCCTCTGCTATCAGAGCTCAAAGAGGGGGTTATATTTCCTAATCTCCTGAAGAAGTTTCTCTTTATCCTGGTTAGCACTGGCCAATGCTTGTTTAGTTTCTATAAGTTCTTTTTGTAGGGTAGGCAGTTCATTCACCTGAGGAATAATAAGCAGTTCACAGTTAATGAATATGGTAATATCACCTTGCAATAATAGCCAGTAAAGACAGCAGGAAGGAAGAATTCAAGCAGAAAAATCCACAGGTCAAGTCACTGATCAAGAGACCTCAGCCAGATCTCCTCCAAGAACCTAACTCCCTTTTCAGCGTCCATCAGTTCAGGGACAGCAACCACTCGCCTCCAGCTCCTGGCTTACGTCCTCTGGCCAGCAATTCCAGAAGCTGCTGCTAGGGAACAGGAGAACGAACCACCCAGGTGCTCACAACATAAGCAAGCTTTTCAGCCCTCTGGCTTTTCTTAACTTTCACAAGTACAGCCCCTACTTGTTTATGGGAAGGTTCTGTCCAGTTGGGTCCTTACCTGTTGTCTAAAAACCTCTCCTGTGGGCACCAGAAATAGCTGTTCTTTGAGGGGCTGCTTCTTCTCACTTTTAGGTACTTCAGCTGATGGTCTGTCCTGAGCAGCAGCTGGAGAAAAAAGTAAAGGTTCTAAGTGAAAAACTACTGCCAATGACCACAGTTCCTGACTGTCATCTATTCACTTATGGGGGGAAATAAGGCAGAGAGGTCAAAAGGCTGATGAGCCCAACTCACCACCAATGTGGAACACGCCATCATCACTCCTCTTCAGCACAACATGCTCCATGGCCACAGTGATGGGGACAGGGCCTGGGGAAGTTGGATAGATGGGGGGGATATCATCCTGCAGGAAAGAGAGGACCACATGATGCCCCCAGATAGCTCAGAGCAAGTGAGGTAACACAACTCATGCTTCTACCATTCAGTCTAAAGCAACTTCATGCCACTGGTTCTCCATATATTCTTGCAAGGTATGAGAGAAATAACTGAGTCCCATTCTGGAGATCACAAAACTGAGGATCAGATAACCTGAAAGCTTATGCCTGGTTCTGTTTTATGCCGAAGACAGGGTTAGAGTTAGAGACAGTGTTTCTCTCCCTACCTGAACCCAGGCCCGTGTGTGTGTGTGTGTGTGTGTGTGTGTGTGTGTGTGTTGGAATCCAAGACCTCACACATAATCAGACAAGCATTCTACCACTGAGCTACATCCCCAGCCCAACCCAGGCCCTTTTACTTCAATATATATACTACTAAAACACTGACAGAAAACGTTAATATGCATTTCCTCACCTGAACCTCACTACATTTTACAGGGTCAAGGGAAAATGATAACAACTGTCATTACCAGAATTTCTTGCCTGACAAAGTTTAAGGCAAACACCCAAGTCCTCTCACCTTTAGTGTGATACTGGAGTTCAGGAGCTCAATCTGCATGGGGAACACCACTGGGACTTCCTCATCCTCCAAAAAGGGCCCCAGGCCATTGAGCACCGAAGTGAGCAGCTCAAGATCACAGCCTCGAAGTAAGAAGTGCAGGAAGCCATTTTGTGCAGCCAGTGGGGAATGAACAGCTGCACGAGGCCCCACCTCAAAGCGAAGGCCTAAGGCTGGCCTGATGTTGTCAGTCTTCAAACTTGAGGATTCCTGAAAGCTTGTACCTTTTGCAAAGAAACACAAGGAAAACATATTAATTAACTTGGGAACTGTTATGAGCACTTTACATCCTTCACCATTCATAGCAACCCTATGCCAAAAGTGTTAGCATCATTCCCTCTTACAGAGAATAGCTTTCCCAAAGCTGCACAACTAGTAAGCAGCACGGATAAGACTGAAGTCAGGTGGTCTGATTTCAAATACAGGTGATACTACGGTCAGATTTTTCAGGGTCAAGCTTCCCGCATTTCATCACTGTGCTGCTGTGGTAGAAAGTAAACAAGAGTTGTGACCAGCCATTATCATGTTTCCCCTCTGTAACATGCTTTATGTGAAATTTAAATCAAGAAAAATAATATTCACTGTGAGCTAGACTGCAGGCAGAGGTGGGAGAGTTAACAAGAGCGCTTCAGGCTGAGCTACTTTGCTAAATGCCCCTCAGGGTGGAAGAAAGGCAAAGGACCAACAAAAAACTGGCCTCCTCTGAATCTGACATACTAGGCCAGGGCTAAGGGAAAGCTCTTGAAACAACACTCTCAACTCTACTAAATTTGAAGTCTTGTTCTCGTTTCTCACTGACAAAGTCAAGCAGAGTCTATGTTCATCTCTCCAAAACTCCATAAAAAATGATCTCAGATTTAGCCAAGGATGTGGAACAATTTACATATTTATGAAACTGCAAATTGAGATAACCATTCTGAAAAATAATGTAGCATGATCTAGTGAAGCTGAAGTTGCACCTACCCAAATGATCTAGAAATTATATTCTTAGGAATATAACCCTGGAGAAACTCTTAAACCCATACGCCAGGACACATATAAGGATGTTCATAGCAACCCTATTCCAAATACCAAAAGAATGAAAAATAACCCAAATGGATGTAATTAGTGAGTGGGTACAAGGGATATTTGGGGTGTGATTGAAATACACTAAAATTAGGTTGTGATAATGGTTATACAACTCCATAAATTTACTAAAATATATTGAAGTGTACAATTAAAAAGAGAATTTTTTACTATGCAAATTGTACCCAATAAAGCTGTTTTTAAAAAGCAAAAGGGTTCAGTGTGATGGCACATGCCTGTAATCCTAGCTACTCGGGAGGCTGAGGCAGAAAGATTTCAAGATCAAGGCCAGAGAGCTAGTCAAAGTGAAAAATAAAAAAGGGCTAGGGTTTAGTTCAGTGGTAGACCGTTCCTGGGTTCAATTCCCAGTACTGCAAAAAAAAAGAAGAAGAAAAAGAAAAAGAGAAAAGAAAGAGAGAGAGAGAGAAAAGGATAGTATATCTATATACTAGGATATTATATAGTAGTGAAAATGAATGAACTATTGCTAATAACATAGACTTTCAAGAATATCATTTTTTTAATATTTATTTTTTAGTTGGACACAATATCTTTATTTATTTGTTTTTATGTGGCACTGAGGATCGAACCCAGGGCCTCGCATGTGCTAGGCGACTACTCTACCACTGAGCCACAACACCAGCCCTCATAGTTTATTAAAGAAGCAAGAAGCAAGCAACAAAATCACACATTGTGATTCCACTTGGAAAAAACTCAAAAACCTGCAAAGCTAAATAATATACTGATATAAACTCATGTGGAAAATTATAAAGGTAAACCAAGAAAATTATAAACACAAATTTTAGGATAGTGTTTACCTATGACAACATAGGGACACAGGGACAGTGGAAAGAAAGATTCAGGAAAGGGGCTCCAGGACTTCAAAGGTAATGTACTGTGTATTTATTAAACTAGGTATGCGTGCAGAGGTTCATCATTATTGTGTTTGTTTATACCTAAAGAGACTTCATTGGGGTTTTTTCCTCCCTCTAATGGGTGCTGAAGAAAAGGACTAAGAGCTTGGCATTAGGGCAGCTGCCCTTAGAACACAGGAACAGGTGCCAGTTAACCTCTGGTTGCTCTAGACAAAACTTACCAGCTCTGCTAGAATGGCAGCCGTCCTTACCTGGGCACTGTCCTTGTAGGAACTGCCAGAGTCCCACGGTGCCTAGCTGCTGTAGGGTCAGTTCCTCTGCTTGCAAGGCTACAGTCAGGTCCTCACCACGTACCTCAATCCCAACAGACACTTCATTCACCTTCAGAACCAAAACTGAGACCTGTCAAAGGAAACTCCCTGAGTTCTGAGTCCCACACTTCCAACCCAGAGCCTACCCTTTACATCTAAGAAAGTGGAGCAGCTAACCGAATGAAGGACGAGGTCTTCACCACTGGGTGATACTGAACTGTTGGCCCCTGGAGAACGCTGGCCAAAACTATCTACAACAGGGCTCCCTTGAACAGCATCATCCAAGACACCTGGAAGGGATCCTGATGGAACAGATTCTGGACGAGATTCTGTGTGAGACAGACAACAAGAGAGTTCAAAAGTCAAAAAATTCTAGTTGAATACAACCTTTAAAAACAATGACAACTGTAAAAACAAAACGGTTATGACACTTATGAGATAACTAGAAATTTGAAGACTAGATAGATATTTGATTAATTTAAGAAATAATTGCTTATTTTCAAAATCTCAACAATGATTATTTGGTCACATGTATTAAAATCTGTAAATGGAAGTAATCTATCCGTTGATGGATGACTAGATAAATAAAACGTGGCACATCCATATAATAGAAGAGTATTTAGCCTTAAAAAGGAAGAAAATTCTAAATGGGCTAAGGAACTGAACAGACACTTCACAGAAGAAGAAATACAATCAATCATCAAATATATGAAAAAATGTTCAATATCTCTAGCAATTAGAGAAATGCAAATCAAAACTATATTAAGATTTCATCTCGCTCCTGTCAGAATGGCAATTATCAAAAATACAGGCAACAAATATTAGCGAGGATGTGGGGGGAAAGGCATACTCATATATTGCTAGCGGGACAGCAAATTGGTGCAACCATTCTAGAAAGCAGTATGGAGATTCCTCAGAAAACTTGGAATGGAACCACCATTTGACCCAGTCATCCCACTCATAGGTTTTTACTCAAAGGACTTAAAATTAGCATACTACAGTAATGCAGCCACCACAATGTTTGTAGCAGCTCAATTCACAATGGCTAAACTATGGAACCAAAATAGGTGTCCATCAATAGATGAATGAATAAAGAAAATGCGGTATACATACTCAATGGAATTTTCCTCAATTTTAAAGAAGAATAAAATTATGGCATTTGCCAGTAAATGGATGGCGTTGGAGAAAATCACGCTAAGCAAAATAAGCAATCCCCAAAAACCAAAGGCTGAATGTTTTCTCTAATATGTGGATGCTAATTCACAATAAGGCAGGCGGCATTAAAGAAGAATAGCATTACCTTAGATTAGGTAGAGGGAAGTTATGGGAGGGGAGGGGAGGGGAGGGAATGTGGGGATAGGAAAGACAGTAGAATGAAACAGACATTATTACTTTATGTATATATATGTGACTACGTGACCAATATGATTCTATAACATGTACACTCGGAAAAATAAGAAATTATATCCCATCTGTGAATGATATATCAAAGTGCATAAATGCATCCTACTGACATGTATAACTAATTAAAACAAATAAAAAATTCTGACATTTACTATTGCCAACAAGAAGACTACAAAGAAGACCCTTAAGGGTATTACATTAAGTAGAATAAGTTAATCACAAAAAAGACAAACACTATATAACTAATACTAATATCAGGTATCTAAACTCCCCAGATTTATAGATAGAGAGTAGAATGGTGGGTGCCATAGGCAGGAATGAGGAATAAATGTTTAATGAGTACAGAGTTTCAGATGCGCAAGGTAAAAAGTAGTCTGGAGACAGATGATGGCGATGGTTGCCCGACAGTGAGAATGTATGTACTCAGCACCACTGAACAGTACATTCATAAGGGGTTAAGACGGTCAACTTTATGTATATTTTGCCACAATTTTATGTGGCACTGTACCACAATATTTTCAATGCACAAATTGAAAATACTTATGGATAAAAATTATATGTTTGGGATCTGCTTCAAAATAATTTGGGATGAACCAGGAGCAGTGGTGCACACCTTTTTAATCCCAACTATTAGGGAGGCTGAGGCAGGATCCCAAGTTTAAGACCAATCTCTCAACAACTTAGTGAGACCCTGTCTCAAAAAACAAAAGGGCTGGGGACATAGCACAAGTGGCACAGTGCCTCTGGGTCTAATCCCTACTGCTGGAAAAAAAATCTGATGGAGGGAAATAGGTAGTGGTATATACTAAACAAGAATGGCCATGAGTTCTTAATGCTGAAGCAAGGTAATGGCCATATGAGGGTTCAATATTTTATTCTGTCTACTTTTATACATGTTTAAATCTTTCCAAAGTTAAAAATAATTAAAACAAAGTAAACATGTGTATGCACAACCTACCTTAGGAAACAGAGCATTATCTTATTAAAACCAAAATGAGGTATCACCTCACACCTGTCAGATGGCTATTATCAAAAAGATGAAAGAGCCAGACACAGTGGTACATACCTGTAATCCCAGCAACTCAGGAGACTGAGGCAGGAGGATTCCAAGTTCAAGGCCAACCTCAGAAATTTAGCAAGACCTCCTCTCAAAATAAAACTATAAAAGGGCTAGGGATATAGCTCAGTGGTAAAGCACCCCTGGGTTCAATCATGGGTACAAAGATAAGAAACAGGTGAAAGAGTAATTAGTGGGAATGTAAATTAATACAGACATTATGGAAAACAAGATGGCGGTTCCTCAAAAAAACTAGAAATAGAGTTACCATATGATCCAGAAATACCACTTCTGGGTATATATCCAAAGGACTTGAAATCGCATGTTGAAGGTATATCTAAACTCCATGTTTACTATAGTCCCATTCACAAGAGATAGTTATGGAATCAACCTGTATGTGCCCATCAACTAATGAATGGATAAAGAAAATATGGTACATGTATACAATGGAATACTATTCTGCTTTTCAAAGGAAGGAAATCCTGTCATTTGTGACAATCTGAAGAAACCTGAAGAACATCCGCCCAAATGAAATAAGCCAAGCACAGAAAGCCAAAACCCACATATTCTCACTTACATGTATAATCTGAAATAATTTAACACAAAGAATCAGAAAGCAGAAGGCTGGTTACCAGGGGCTGGCTAGTAGAGGGATGAAGAGATGTTAGTCAAAGGACACAATGTTTCAGTTAGACCAGAGATAATGAATATGTTAGTTAACTCGATGCAAAACTTGACACTGTGCACGTCATAGCATCACTTTGTACCCCATACATGTACAACTATAATTAGTCGATATCTGATAAAAATAAATAAATAAAGGAAGAAATAGTACATTCTCTTTAGATGCTCTCAAGGGTCTCAAGGGACTTTTTTTTGTTTTTTGGTTTTTGTTTTTTAAAGAGAGAGAAACAATTTTTTTTAATATTTATTTTTCAGTTTTCAGTGGACACAACATCTTTATTTTATTTTATGTGGTGCTGAGGATCAAACCCAGCGCCCCGCGCATGCTAGGCGAGCACGTTACCACTTGAGCCACATCCCCAGCCCTCAAGGGACATTTTAAGTCAATAAGCTAAGAGAACCAGTGTAACTTTTAGAGGAGATAGATTTAATTCCTAAAAGTTACTCATTTTCTAAAGACAAAAAGCTTCTTAAAAAAAAAAAAGCTTCTAAATACTTTCCAACAATAAACTATATAGGCACAGTGGCACATACTCATAATCCTAGTGACTTAGAGGCTGAGGCAGGAGGACTGCAAGTTTAAGGCTAGCCTAGGCAATTTAACAAGATATTGTCTCAAAATAAAAAAATCAAAAGATAAGGGGATATAGTTCAGTGGTAAAACACTCTTTGGTTCAATCCCCAGTACTGAAGGAAAAAAAAAAAAAAAACTCACACCATTGATAACAAATACAGAACTGATCCCCGAAATAACTACATAGTTCTAAGACTAATGATTTATCCTTTGATTTGAATCCCTTTCTGTGATAAAGGTCAAGTATTAAGTAATAACCTAGAAGATGTTGAGATAAAGCCAGAGCCACAAATCTACTAAATTTTTTCTCTCCTTTTTGTTTTGATTAAGAAAGTGTATATATTATGAAATCTCTGTTCCTCTTGAATCCCGCTGGCTTTAATACTGGCAGCAGAGAGAACCCCTTTGTATTTAGGCAACTTTGCTCCCACATACCAGACTCCAAGAGCATCACAAAGCTATCGCTGCCATCACTGTCCACTGAAATCCGGTCTTCGGGGCCACTGTTATCCAATGAGACACCATCAAATGACTGCTGAGATACTGTCCTCTTCATGGAGAAAAAGCGGAGTCGGGCAGCACCTCCACCCACTGGGGCTGCTGGGCCCTCATCTATCTTGGCCATGGGCTCCCTGTTAAGAAAAATAAAAACAAAACACATGTATGAAGATGTGAGGAAAAAAAAGAGAGAGAGAGAGAAAGAGAATAGCGTTACATTAGATTAGGCAGAGAGAATTGATGGAAGGGGAGGGGAGGGGATGGGGGGATAGGAAGGATAGTAGAATGAAACAGACATTATTATTACTGTGTGTATATATGTGACTGCATGACCAATATGATTCTGCAACCTGTATACTCAGAAAAATTAGAAATTACATCCCATCTGATTCAAATGTATGATATGTCAAGGTCATTGTACTGTCATGTGTAATTAATTAAAACAAATTTAAAAAATACAAAAAAATTTAAAAAAGAAAAACAAAACCCACAAATGTGGCTTTGAAGATATGTTTGTTCCCACCCCAGCAATATGCTTCCCCTTCAGCTCAAATAGGTAATGTGAAGAGAAAACTTTATAGCTGCTATAAAAAGATGAAGTTATTTTGCACTCACTGGCCCTTCTGAATTACCTTATTCCAGTACGTTTAGGTGTGTGAGCAGCTAATCAACATTAAATGTCAAAGTTATTCAGGGTCATCCCATATATAAGAGATAACATCTACCTACCAAACTGGTGCCACCTGGAGCCACCAGCATCCATTCTACATGTCCTCATTGAACAGCTTCTGTAAGCAAGGTACCACAGTACTAGGCACAAGGAAGAAGTGTAGGGTGGACAAATTGATGAATAAGACGTTCTCAAAAGAATTTATGATCTATTAGGAGAGAGACTTATGCATATAAATTTTATAGGGATTGTCATACATGACATAAAGAGAGGGACAGAAACACAAGCCTAAGGCTAGACAATATTAAAAGAGGAAAAGAAATGAGAAGGAAATCAAGAATGGCTTTGTGGGAGGAGATGGCATTTGAGGCGGTCCCTGAAGGACTGTGAAACAGAACAGGGCACTCCTCTCCTGCACAGCACAAAGGCACAGAGCCTGAGGCAAAATAAGACTGGGAAGTGTGCAGCCCAGCTGCTGGGAGGTTTTGTTGGGGAGAGCAATGGAAGATAAAGCTAGAAAGGCATGACAGTTGAAAAGAAACAGCTAAAGACCCTTTAATCCCACCCTCCCAGTTTACAGATGAACAGTCGGACCCATGGTCACAATTAAAGGTATTATTATTATTATTATTATTATTATTATTATTAGGTACCAGGGATTGAACCCAGGGGTATTCAATCACATCCCCAGCCCTTTGTACTTTTATTTTTTTACTTTGAGTCAGGGTCTCTCTAAGTTGCTGAGGCTGGCTTGGAACTTGTGATCCTCCTACCTCAGCCTCCTGAGTCACTGGAATTATAGGCATGTGCCACCATGCCCAGTTGAAAGTATTATTATGAAAAACCCCAAGCCCCTAACTTCCCTGTAAGTGCTCTTCACTTTACCACAAAAAAAATTGCAGCTTAAACTAAAGATTATATACGTCTCACAGCCATTTTAGTACATTGAGATTCACAGAGACAGCACCCAGCCCAGTGAGAGCTGGACGGGCACTGGGTGATTCTGTCTCAAACTAAACTAAACACAGGCAAAGAAGATCCAAAGAGGCTGTGAGGCAAAATGTCATCATATGCATTCTTCATGAAAACATGCCAGAAGGATCACAAGAGGCAGCATCTGGACGGCCAGGCACAATGGTGCACACCTGTAATCCCAGCAATTTAGGAGGCAGGAGGATCACAAGTTCAAAGCCAGCTTCAGCAACTTAGCAAGGTCCAAACCAACACAGAGAGACCCTGTCTCAAAATAAAAAAATAAAAAGGGCTGGGGACATGGCTCAATGGTCAAGCACCTCTGGGTTCAATCCCCAGGACCAAAAAAGTAGCAGCAGTGGCAGCACCTGGGCTACTTCAGTTGACTTTCAGTTGAGTTTTCTAAGAAGTGTTCAGAGAGGTAAAAGACCATGTCTGCTAAGGAGAAAGGAAAATTTGAAGACATGGCAAAGGTGGAAAAGGCCCATTGTGAAAGAGAAATGAAAGCCTACATCCCTTCTAAAGGGAGGTCTCCATCAGTCTTCTTGTTCAGCTCTATCACCTCAAAATCAAAGGAGACCATCCTGGCCTAACCATTGCCGATGTTGCAAAGAAACTGGGATACGGAATCACACTGCTGCCGACAACAGGCAGTCTTATGAAAAGAAAGCAGCTGAGCTGAAGGAAAAACACACAAAGGACACTGCTGCCTACCAAGCTAAAGGAAAGTCTGATGCAGCAAAAAGGCAGCTGTCAAGGCTAAAAACGCTCAAGAGGATCAGGAAGGTGTAGAAGATGATGATGATAAACAAGTTGGTTCTAGGAATTACTTTTTTTTTTCTTTCCTTGTCTATAAAGCGTTTAACACCAACCATACAAAACTCATTCCTTTTAAAGAAAAAAAATTGCAATGTAAGTATATAGTTAACATACTACCAAATGTGTCTTTCGGTGGCACTGTCTTGGTAATACTTTCAACAGCTGCTAACCTTGCCTGGTACAGTATGGGGGTTGTACACTAGCATGGAATTGAAAGCAGGTTTTTGTTGTTACACACCACAAATTAGTTCGATATGGAGACAATATAGTTTTTCATCTTTAGTTGTCCCTGATGTAGCTTATATGAAATAATTGTTATATTAACTGAATACCACTCTATAACTGAAAAAAAAATGCAGCTGTTTTGTTGACATTCTGAATGCTTCTAAGTAAGAAGAAGAGACAGAAATGTGTTAAACAGACAGGGTCAAGGACCCCCACACCAGGAGTTTAAAAAATGGAGTAGACAGCTTGTAATTGTAACTGGTGACTCCATTGGGGCCTGAAGGTATGTGCCTGAATCCTGAGCCAGTCCCTGAGGCAAAGCAGCACCCTGATAATATCCTGGTGTAACTGGACTCAAAGACACACTTCTTTAAAATCTCTAGCATATGGTTTCCAAGGCCACATAAAAAAATAACTCCCCTCTAACCTTGTTATATTAAACCCCTAGACAACAGACATCCCTCAAACCCTCCTTCGGGCTTCTCCCCTACAAGAGCTCTGCTTTCTTTCTTTTTTTTTTTTTGGCGGGGGGAGGTTATCTGGGATTGAATTCAGGGGCACCTGACCACTGAGCCACATCCCAGCCCTATTCTGTATTTTATTTAGAGACAGGTCTCACTGGGTTGCTTAGCACCTCATCTTTGCTGGGGCTGGCATTAAACTCACAACCTTCCTGCCTCAGCCTCCCAAGCCGCTGGGATTACAGGCATTTTTTTGCCACCATACCTCACTCTGCTTTCTATTACTTTAATAAATGCTGTTACTTTGCTCTCACCCTTTGTCAATGGATCTCATTCATTGAATTCAAGAGACAAAGAACACAGATCATCCCATCTCCTAAATACAAATTTTATTTTAAAAAATTATATATTAAAGTGTTTTGAAAACTGTAAAGTGACACATGGATTTATCATAATAATTGACTATGCTACACTAAGAAGTTCAAATGGGACCTGGGGGTGTAGCTTGGTTGGACAACGCCTTCCTAGCATCAGGCCCTGGGGTTCCTTCCATCCTCAGCACCACAAAAAAATAAAAAATTCAAAGAAAATTCAGGAAGGCATAAGGAAAATGCTTAGAGGTTTTAGAGTAAGGAAATGACAAAATCACAAAAATCACACCTGTGTTTTAGGAAGTTTAACGTGGCTTTTTCAATGTAGAAACCAACACTTTACTAAAACAGTCCAATGTGGAAACAGACAGGAAAAGCTGATAAGAGATTCTCTAGAGAAGTGTGTCCTGGTGGTAGCATCAGCATCAACAGGGAACCTCTCAGAAACGCAGAATCTCAGCCCAATCTCATACCTACTGAATGAGAAGCTCTGGGGACAGGTCTCTGCAACCTGTTCAATGAGGACTTGAGGTGATTCTGATGCACACTCAGTTTTAAAAACCACTCATTTAGGAATTACGGTCAGAACAAGACAGATTAGTTTTAAGAGGCAAAGCACTAAAATGTTCAGCTGGATGAGCAGGAGAATGCTACTATCCAAAGAAGAAAGAACTGATCTGGGGAGGGATACGAAATCAGTTTCAAACATGTGAGCAGCTACCTCTGAGAGATCCAACTGTCTAGTAGACAATTTTAAATGAAGAGCAGGAGAAAGGAAGGAATTCAGGACAGAAAACAAAGCTTACAGCAGACGTAAGGAGATGAATAAAATAACCAAGAGAAAATATTCAAAAGCATAGACTGATACAAACCTTCTAAAGTCTGGCAAATGCATCAAGAACCTTAAAAATATTTGCAGCATTTGACCCAGTATCACTTACAGACTTTTACTCTAAAGAGAGATTTAGATACATACAAATATGCAGAGTAAGGTTCACAAAAATAAGAACACTAAACACAGCATTAGTTCTACCTGAGAAAGACTGGAAACAGACTAACAGACCCCATAGATAATGAAATGGATGAATAAATTATAATATATACATTTGATAGAACATAATAATGCAATTAAAAATCATGTATTCAAATACATAATAAATGAGAAAATATTCACAATAAAACATTAAGTGAATAAAGCAGGATGCAATGTTGTAGAAATAATATAATCCTATTGTAAAAACAGTATTTGTGTCCATATACAAGCATTCACATGGGCACACAGATTTAGATGGGTGTACAAATCAGGAAGCAAATAGACCTAAATGTAAATAGCAACTTTTTTGTGTGTGTGTGCTGGGGATTGAACCCAAGGGTACTTTACTACTGAGTTATATCCCCAGTCCTTTGTATTTTTTATTTTAAGACAGGGTCTTGGTAAATAGCTGACCATCTTGCTAACTAGTGGAGGCTGGCTTCAAACTTGGAATCCTCCCACCTCGGCCTCCTGAGTATCTAGGATTGCAAGTGTGCATCACTGCACCTGGCAAGAGCAGCTATCTCTATTTTCTCCTTTCTTCTTATCACCTACATCTTCAATACAATGAGCACAGATCACTCTTATAATTAAAAAACTAAAAATTAGGACAAAAGTGATCATAACAGCCATGATGGTGCATGCCTGCAATCCCAGCATTTTGGTAGGCGGAGGCAGGAGGATCACAAGCTCCAAGCCAGCCTCAGTAATTTAGCAAGGCCCTAAGCAACCTGGAGAGACTAAAAAGGACTAGAGGGCTGGGGTTGTGGCTCAGTGGCAGAGTGCTTGCCTAGCATGCGTGAGGCACTGGGTTTGACGCTTAGTACCGCATACAAATAAAACAAAGGCCCATTGACAACTAAAAAAATTTTTAAAATAAAAATGAAAAAAAAAAGAGCTGGGGATGTGGCTCAGTGGTTAAGTATCCCTGGGTTCAATTCCCAATACCAAAAAAAAAAAAGTGTTCAGAATATGGACAACCTTGAAAGTATTTACATTTGTAGGACAAAAAGAAAAGAGCGGACAAAAAAAAAAAAAAAGAATCCTTCAGAGAAATGAGAGTAACTGCAGTAATTTTCAATGTAGAAATCAACAATTTACTAAAACAGTCCACATGTGGAAACAAGAAAACCCGATTCCCTAGAGAAGTGGGTCCTGGTGGAAGCATCAGCATCAACAGGGAACTTCTCAGGGTTAAAAATGTTCAGGAAGAGTTGCCCGGCAATGTTAACTGCCGCAGAGAAGTCCAGGAAAGGGCAGACTGAGGAAAGGCCATGGGTTTGGACAGATAGGAAGGCACTGTCGGTTTCACCAGAGCTTTTATCACACATCTTCCTGTGATCATTTTCATTTTACCCATCTCCTTTATACGTCTCCATTTAGAAAAGGCAGCACCTTCAGTCTTCGCCCCACCACTCACAAGTTGTATAAATCTTGAGCAAGTTTTTTTTAACCTTGCTGAGCCTCAGTTTCCTCATCTGTAAAATGGCGAGTGATATTAGTATCTTTCTTATAGGACTGTTACAAGAATTCAGTGGATTAATATTGTATGTAGGACAATGTCTGACACACAAAATACTTCAATCTAATATTATTACAACACTCACCCCTTTAAGTTTTCCTCTCTTCTTCCTCCTTGGCAATCTATCCTAGCAGGAAGATACACATAGGCAATGCTAAGAGACCCACGTAAGATAATTCACTACATTCACTTCGAAAAACAGTTCTAATGCCACTGATCGTCATACCATGCTCTCTAAATCACAAAGTGTCCCAACAAAGATTTCCTTTACTTCATTGTCTTTCCTAAATCCACAAGGAACCCATGGGAAAATTCATAATGCTCTCCTCTTCTAATGTCACATTTCTGTGTTTTCTCCCTATTGTATCTCTAGTACTTAACCCAGAGCCTACAACACAATAAGAGCTCAAAAAGTATTTGCTAGCTGGGCACAGTGGTGCACACCTGTAATCCCAGCAGGTGGCTGAGGGAGGAGAATTGAGAGTTCAAAGCCAGCCTCAGCAAAAGCAAGGCGCTAAGCAACTCAGTGAGACCCTGTCTCTAAATAAAATACAAAATAGGGCTGGGGATGTGACTCAGTGGTCGAGTGCCCCCAAGTTCAATCCCCAGTACCAAAAAAAAAAAAAATGTATTTGCTGCTTTCTTCTTACTCTGGCAGATGTTGGTAAGGTGTATCAGAAAGAACAAGTCCAAAGCCCCAGTTTTTCTACTAACAAGATAGAGAGAATCCATGAGCACATCCTCTATTGAGCTTTAGTTTCCTCAACTATAAATAGGGGATAAAAAGGTCTGTAGCTGGGCTGGAGTTGTGGCTCAGCGATAGAGCGTACACCTCATATGTGCAAGGTGCTGGGTTCAATCCTCAGCACCACATAAAACTAAATAAATAAAATAAAGGTATTGTGTCCAACTACAACTAAAAAAAAAAAGTCTGTAGCTATCCTACTAAGCTGATACAGGGGATCAAGTCAAACAAAAAAATCACATGAAAGACCACTGAGAAGAATATTATACAGATACCAGCTATTGTTATCATAACATATCTGTTATTAATAATTATGAATTAATGAAAGAGAAGATAATCTGATTTTAAGCAGCAATAAACAATGACTTGAAAACTGCCCATTAAATGGGCCCATGTGTGCATTCTCCTGGACTATGTGGTGCTTCAAAACATAAAAGTGCACATAATAGGAGGCCTTGGGCCGAAGGGTCAGAACTAGAGGAAGAGATGGAGTGAATGAAGGAGGCAGAGAACCACTCACTTGGTTGGGGGCAGGGACAGCATCTTGTGCATGGTGGAGGTCATTCGATCTCTGCCCAGACTGAAGGCATCCTTAGTCAGGGACACAGCTTCCTTAGTGAGGTCCATGGTGGCATGTAGAGCCTCCTTGGTGGCATCCTTGGTCATGTGAATAGCACTCGACAATTCTCCTTCAAGGTTCTTCAAGGGAACAGGCTCACCCTGTCCGTTCACAGCAGTATCCCTGCCAGCTGTGGACTTCAATGCAGCTGGTGAGCTGGAGGCTTGGGCTCTGCTCAGTCTCTTGGCCTGGAGGGACTCAACTGCCTCGTGGCCTTTCCCTGACAGCTGCTGTGGAAGTGGATCTGAGTCCTGCAATTCTCCATTGCTCTGAGGCCTCTCATGAGATGCATCAAGATTGTCAATACTACTATTCTCCAGGACCTTCTCGGGGCTTGCTGGGCCCTGGTCTGAGGAGGCATCAGACTTCAGTTCCCGATCCTCTGAACGAGACAGCTCTGAATCTATAAGGCTGGTGGTGTCTGAACCTGCAGAATCAGCATCGACAGCCCCAGGGGCAGGATGCATGAGTAGAGCCACCTCAGCGCTGGGAAAGAGCACACCAATGCAAGCTGTCTGGTCCTGCAGGGGAGACCCTGTCATGGCCTCTGTATCCTTAGTCAGCTGCTCCTGAAGCTCCTGCAGCACCTCCTTCAGACGGAGCAGAGCCAAGTACTGGTAATGGTCCAGCCTCACGCAGACATGGGCTGGGGAGTGTACAAGCACATGGACATCTGCTGCATCCTCCAGCTCTGTCACAGGCCCTTTGTTGCCCACACCATCACTGCCTTCTCTCAGAATTTCCATGACTTCTGTAAGGCCTGACAAACTTTTCAAATCATGCTCAGTCTTTGACCTCTGATGGGACACAGAATCAGGGATGAGGACTTCAGAGTGAACAGGACTGCCAAAGCTGGCTGATGGTTTCAACCTCCCCTCCGAGGCCAAAAGGAGCCTTCGAGCCTGGGCCTGCTGCCAGCGGAGAGGTAGACAGGCCCAAACAGACAAGGGGAAGGGGGCCACAAAATTCAACGTATGGCCTTTGAAGTTCTCTGTTCCCTCAAAGTCCAAGGAGATCCGGGTGAAGTGGATGGACCAGAGATCCTGGGAAGCCTTAGGCCTCTGGGGAGGGAGGGTACTAGGCTGAGGAAGGCGGGAATCCATCTGGAAGGCATGATGCAAAAACAGCATGTGCAGAAGGCTAAAGCCACCCGGAACCTTGGGAAAGTGATCATAATTAGAATGGAAGAACTCGGCAGCAGCAAAACCCCGGAAGAGAGTCTGGAGATCTGGACAGCTACATTGTGGGGCATATCGTGTATTGGTGGCAATCATCCCTGATGAAGAGAAGACAAGGGCCTGGGGACGATGCAATTTTGCCTGCTCTCTCTTCTCCAGAGGGAAGCTCACCTTCAGAGAAAAAACACAATTCAGAATGACTCTCTGAGTATCTCAACAACCCACCACTAATACACATGCCAAGGATCATTTGGGCCAGGAAACTGTTTTTCTTACTTCCATGAGGAGAAGAACTATGGATAACAGCCAAGAGAAAAATGCAATTGTGGTTACCACAGGGGACAAAATTCCTACTCTCTCCCTACCTTTAACCGGAAGGCATCCAGTCGGATGTCCAGATGTTCATCTTTCTGCCTTGAATCCTCCAGTTTGTAAATAGCTTTGAATTGCTCCAAGCTACGGTATAAATCTAGGCAAAAGAGGTTTCCCCAGAGCAAGCTGACAGGATCCACAGTAAATGCCAAATCATTTAACTGAATGTAGAGGTTGGGACAGGGAACTGGAAAGCAGAGAGGAAAAGAATCATCATATATGAAGTGGCAGCTAGACTCTTACTTACTAGCTAATGTTTGCTTTATTATCAAGACAGCAAAGATACACATTATGCAGGGCAGATTTTAACAAAGGTATACAAAATTAACTCAAATACCTAAACTCTTAATAACAAATGAGGATACACATAGTGGCCCTGAGTCTGAAAAAGGTGAAGAGCATGAGCTAGACAAAAGAAATGGCTGGTCCCGATGCTCACCTGGAAGCTCCTGATTATCTGGGAAATAATACTCTGTAAACTCAACATGAATGGCAGAGACCTGAGTGGGTAAGCTGTGGAGTTTGCGACTGCAGGAAAGGAGTGTAGATGGCTTCTTACTTGGCTGTCCAGCTGTAGAAACCTAAGCAATCACAACTTACTGTTAGCATCTGTAGCAGTCCCCAGAATAGAAGTCAATTCCTCAACTATCCTGCCTAAGCCTGGCACAAACATATTCCAGGCACTCTCTCCACCTTCCACTAGCCCTAAGGTAGTTTTTTCAGCAGGTGGTTGAGTAGAGCACTCCAAGGAAAGCTGGGACAAGTCCTTTTCTCAGTAGCTATGCTCAAAAAGACCCCACTGTCAGTCTACCCAGAATAAGGCAAATGGTCCCTGGATTCTACAACTTTGGTCACACTGTTCCAGTTGCCTTCCAAATGAACTTTCCAGCCCTTTCCAAACATGTTTCCCCACATCCTCACCTGATGGATGTCCAGGTCATCCACTCGTACAACCATGCAGCTAGAGCGTAAGCGATTCCAGGCCGGAGGCCGAAAAGCAGCCTGACGTCCCCCAGAGGGACACTTCTCAAGAAGGTTCTTTCGAGGACTAGAGAGAGAATCTAAATAAAAATAAGAAAATGATATATTGTCAACTCTCATTATTAATTGAACTAGAAAAGTAAGCCGGGCATGGTGGTGCATGACTGATCCCAGGGACTCTGAAGGCTGAGGTCCTGAGCAAAAAAAAAAAAAAAAAAAAAAAAAAAGAGCACAAACTGGATGGAACTCAAAAATGTTTTCCTGAAGACCAAGGTAACAGTGTTGTTTTTGTTTTTGCGGTTCTGGGGATTGAACCTAGGGCTGCTCTATCACTGAGCTACAGTCTCAGTCCTTTTTAGTTTTGTTTTAAGACAGGGTCTCACTGTGCCCAGGCTGGTCTCAAACTTACAATCTTCCTGCCTCAGCCTCCCAAGTAGCTGGGATTACAGGCCTGTGCTACTATACCTGGGGATAACAGCTTTCTGAATAGAGATGATGAGAACTTCTCTTTAACAGTACAGCTATCCCTGAGGACAAAGAAAGTCACTAATGTCACTCGGCGGGACACAGTTGGTTTAACTAGCTACTCCACTGCTCTATCTGCACTGGTTATTCCAAGGTGAATGGTTAAGAGGCTAAGAACTGGAGTCTTCCAGTTTTTTACCTGCTTTCCTCCGGAAAGGGGAGTCTACCCCCAGGTGCCAAGGTGGTTTCAGACCAGTCTCTTCATGCCACTTCTCCATTTTACTCTGAAATTCTATCACAAGCTTCTGAGCCCAATGTCCTCGGGTCTCCATGGCCTCACAGTGCCGTACCCAATGTTTGCAGCTATCACCTGTACAACAAAAAAAGCAGAAAGATTTTAGCCCAAGACCATGATCCAATGTTTCCGTTTTCCCTTCCTGTCAGAAAAATCACAGTGTAGAATCTGACCCCTCATTCCCAATCCAGAACTCTGAAATAAGGAAATATTATCCAGTGAGAGCTCCCAAGTTCATCTGGACTCCATATGTGATTTTTCCTAAGGATCCTTAAGGGCAATAGCTGACTGCTGCCATCCTTAACTATGGATTACTAGAGAGGATCTAACTCTAGTGGAGATCTAGGGCTGAGGGGAGAATCAAAAGCAACATCTCAGGCACTGCTCCACCCCCAACTTCCTCTCCTCCATCACAAGAGCAGATCATCCAAGTTTCCAAAAGATGCCCTGACACCTCTGAGTATGTGCTGTAATCCCTGGAACCCTCCTGCTGGGCAGTCAGGAATGAAACCAGGAATCTTCCCTCAATATTTTGGGCCATGCTAGAATTGACCCCATTCAGATTTCTCCTAACCTGCCCAGTGGAAGGGGTAGTAGTCAAATGCCATCTTGCGGAAGGTAAGCTGCATGGCACCACCCATGAGTCTATTTGCAGAGATACCTATGAAAGAAAAATACAGGTGAATAGCACTGGAAGGAACAAAGAAGCCTAACTACCACCTGAAGCACTTAGAAGTCCTCTGGAGCCACCTCCAAATCCCAGCTGGGAACACAGTGCAGCTGAAAGGACATGATGCCAGGTGACTTGCAAGCCTGCAGCCTTCTTCTGTTAAGCTGCAATAGCCCATGGACATGCTCTAGAAGATCCAAAAAAAATAATAAAGTATATTCCATTGTCTCTGTAACTGGCTGCCAGATTTCCAGAAAAGCCAAAGAAAATAAAAAATTGATTCAGGAATTCTAATACTAGGTTTCCCACAGACCCACTCTACAACCTGGACTGACTGGTTCCCCCAACCCTAAAAACATTAGTCTTACTGTCCTTCAACACAACATCTGGAAAAGTATAACCAGATCCTCCCTGCTCCCCTCCTCTGCTCCCCACACACAAAAATACCCATATTATTTCTTTTCATATCCCGGTCTCATAGCTAAAGCTATGATATTAGACAATCGCTATATGCTGTACATACAAAATACCATGGAACACTGAAACATGGAACATTATAAGATAAAAATATATTATTTTGTAGGTAAACTGGAATTTCTATCAGCAAGTCAAAAATTACATTATGTTTACCTTAGAATTTATGTTAAATTCTTACTAAATGAATGAACTTCCCATGTTTCTACCTTATCTAATTAGACTAAAAAACTGTAAAAGTAGAAATTATTTCTTCCACACATTATGTGGTCCACCCTTTTGTGCACTTCCACCCTGTACTCTACGATTGTATCTAGTCTTGTAACTAATAGATGCTACTTGTAACTAGTAGACGATAAGAGGGAAGAAAACAACACAGAAATGAGTAAAAGGAATCACCATGCAATCTTTAGGAATAAGCCAGGATAGCTTCAACAAGTAGGTCATTTCCTCCAATCTAGATTTTGCCATCCCAAATTCTGGACTAATCATCCTCCTACCAGGTGAAACACCTACACCAGAATTTCTGTTTCTCAATTTTTTTTTTTTTTTTTCATAATGACCTCCCCTAGATTTTTGTTTTGTTTTTGTTTTTGTTTGTTTGGTTGGTTGGTTGGTTGGTTGGTGCTGGCAATTGAACTAGGGATGCTTTCCCATTGAGTTACATCCCCGGCCCTTTTTACTTTTTGAGACAGGGTCTCACTAAGTTGCTTAGGGCCTAAGTTGCTGAGGCTGGCCTTGAACTAGTTAACCTCCTGTCTCAGCCTCCCAGGTTGTTGGGATTATGGGCATATACCACCACACTTGGCCTAAGGAGACTTTTTAGACATTTTTTTCCGAATTGTCCCCCACCATGAAATTTTAATTCCATAGGTATACTATACACATGTATAATTCTCAAAGTTAAAATCACAAAGTTAAAATCACACTTATAATATATATGTGTGTATATATATGTATATACTTCAGACATATTAAAAAATACAAAACATTTTCTTTTTCAGTCCAGGGTAAAGAAACAGAATAACTGTTTTAAGCTAAATTAAATATTTTAAATATATTAATGTTCAACTTAAATTTGTAATTGTGCTGATAAAATATGATTATTTACTTATATAAACTGTAATGTAACAAATTAGCTATGCAAATTAGCAATATATAAACACATAATAGCAATATAATAAAACTTTTAATTATTAAAAATTATTTCAGCAAAAGTAAAAATTTTAATTTCTTAAAATTATCTTTAGTGGTTGGGGTTGTAGCTCAGTGGCAGAGCACTTGCTTAGCATATGTGAGGCACTGGATTCAATTCTCAGCACTGCATATAAATAAATAAAATAAAGGTCCATCAACAACTAAAAAAATTTTCTTTTTTTTTTTTTTACTCTTTTTTTTTTTTTTTGAGAGAGAGAGAGAGAATTTTAATATTTATTTTTTTTAGTTTTCGGCGGACACAACATCTTTGTTTGTATGTGGTGCTGAGGATCGAACCCGGGCCGCACGCATGCCAGGCGAGCGCGCTACCGCTTGAGCCACATCCCCAGCCCAAAAATTTTCTTTAATGTTAAAAAAATTATCTCTAGTGAACTCAATTTTTTGTTTGATACAAGAAAAAACTTTTAAATTAGCCACCAGAGATTCATTCAGATATTGTCAACATTTTTCCTTTGTAGCACTTGACTAAATTAATAAGAGGCTAATTTTTGTAGAATTAAATAATAAAACAAACTGTTCCATTTAATATTTTCATTTAATTCTCAAAGTTAAAATCACAAAGTGAGGGTCACAAATAAATAATACTAGTAAGTAGCCAATGGCAGCCAACAGGTACCTGTAGGCATCTCTTGCCGTATGACTTTGAGATGGAGCAGTGGATTAAAACAAAGTCCACTGATTGCAGCCATCTACTTGCCACAGTTTGTAGTACTGATCTTCCATTCTGTATACCATTCACAAACTCAAAATCAATGCTGCTCATGAAAACCCAATGAGAGAAATACTAAGGAATAAAATTGTGTCAGGTAGGGTTAAGTTTTGGAAGACCACAAACCATTGTTGTTTCTAAGATTTCCCTACTTCCCAAACCCAATTTTCAATGTCCATAATAGGCAAATATCAAGACAAAAAGTAGATTAGTGGTGTTTAGGGCTGCAATTGTTCTGAAATTGATTATAGTGATGGTTGTACAATCCTATGAATAATATTAGAAATAATATTAGAAAACTAAAGTTTGTTGTATAATCTAAGTGGATGAATTTATGGTATGTGAATTATATCTCTTTTTACCTGGAGGTGATCATGATCTCAACTAAAAATACCTGACCTAGGTTACTACAGGAACAGGGTTCAAACCCCAAGCTCCCTTTGTTGGGCTATCTAGAACTAAAGGGACAAAAGCTACATGGACTGAGTGTATTGGAATAGGAACTAGAATTAAAATCAAATATAATTAATAATTACCATCATACCTAATATGTGAACACATAAATCATTCATAAGACGTAATGATAAAAAATTCTCCAGTGAGCTGATAGGAAGAAGAAATAGCCAGGCCTTAAGAAAGAGAAACAGCTTGGGCTTTGGCAATTTATTATGTCTGTCTGTCTGTCTGTGCCTCCGTGTGTGTGGGTGCATGTATTAAGTTGAGAGTGTAACTCCAACTAGAAAGCTTCCCTAGCATGAATGAGTCACTGGGTTCTATCCCCAGTAAAGCGGGGGTAGGGTGGAGGGGCCTTTTGGTTTACAGGCTTTATCCTGAGGAAAAACAGTTTAGGGGAAGAAAAAAAAAAAGCAGGTGATTTTCCCTCTTTTCCTAATCCACTGCCAACCTGTAAAGCTGCTCCACTTTCATTTTAAGACATAGTGTGGGCAAGCTGCTCTTCCGGGGTCCCCTCTTGCCCTGAGGGAGCACTCTCTTTCCTTCTCACTTCAAACAGGAAGGCTGGCACTGGCAGATGGCTGGGATCTGCTACAGCAGCAGAGGGTGCTGTAGCAGAGGGTGGAAATCCTATTTCATCTTTTGGGGACTCGTCTGGGATCCACCAGAAGGCATGATCTCTGTCCTATGTACACCTTGTCCTCTACACCCACCAAATGTCACCGTGGACCTCTGGAATGCCATGATATACAAAATGCCCAGACTACTAATGGTCATATAGATGGAATCCAAAACAAAATTCCCATCTACTGGGTTCCCTTAGATAGGCCTCTTTAGAAGGACCTGACTGCCATTCCCTTTCAATACCTCTTTTCGGTCTAAGGTAGCCAGAGTAGTCATTATCCCTTGCCCCTAATGGCAATTGGGGGCATTTCTTAGGGGGAAATAAATGAAATAGATAACAAAACAAGTTAAAGAAGCTCTGTAATGGCTTCTCTAAATGTAAAGACCATTCCATGAGATTAACCTGTAGAAATGTCCCAAACATTCCAGCCAATATCTTTGTCCCAGAGTGGCAAGGAAGGGGAGGTGGGCCAGATTTGAGTGAAGTCTACAGACTTAAGGGCTAACCAATAGCCTTGGCACTTTTCCAATTCCTGTTAAGCATAGATTTTGACCAATAGCCTTGGTACTTTTCCAAGACTTGATTAGCACAGATATTGACAAATTCCCCTACCCCTTGGCTACATAAGCCATAGACTAGTTCATGTAAGTGGAAACCTGTGCTGGGTCTCCTCTTTACCTGAGGGAGCTCTGTCTCTTTTTTTCTCACTTCACTAAGTGCTACTCTTTTACACTCAAAAAAAAAAGGGACAGAAAGAAAAAGAAACAGTGCTAGGGCTGGGGATATAGCTCAGACGCAGAGGCAGAGTACTTTCTTACCATGTGCAAAGCCCTGGGTTCAAGTCTCAGCACCACACACACACACAAAAAAAAAAAAAGATAAGAAAAAGGAAGGGCTGGGGTTGTGGCTCGGTGGTAGAGTGTTCATCTAGCACATGGAAGGCCCTGGGTTCAATCCTCAGCACCACATAAAAATAAATAAAATAAAGGTATTGTATGGGCTGGGATTGTGGCTCAGTGGTAGAGCGCTTGCCTAGCATGCATGAGGCACTGGGTTCAATCCTCAGCACCACATGAAAACAAAATAATATGTCCACCTAAAACTAAATATACATAAATAAATAAATATTTTAAAATAAATAAATAAATAAATAAATAAATAAAGGTATTGTGTCCAACTACTTCTAAAAAATAAATATTTTTTTAAAAGAAAAAGGAAGAGTGCTACCCCACTTCAAGTCAAATTGACCCCACTGACCCAACCAGTTTTCCATCATTTCACCTCTAATAACAAGGGATAGGTGAATTTGTTAGTCAGCAGTGCCAGCACCCAGCTATCAGCTCCATTAGGAAAAAGGCAGTAGGTATTGCCTTCAATAGTTTCTACAGCAGCAATGTCCTAAGAACTTTCTATGACAATGGACATGTTCTATGGTTTATAGAGTATATCAAGCACTTGAAATGTAGTTAGTGTGAATGAAGAAAATTTTATTTTAATTAAAATTAAAACAAGTTCTTTTCTTAAAATATTTATTTTTTAGTTGTAGGTGGACACAATAGCTTTATTTCATTTTTATGTGGTGCTGAGATCGAACCCAGTGCATCATACATGCTAGGTGAGCGCTCTACCACTGAGCCACAACCCCAGCCCCTAAAACAAGTTCTTCATTTAATTAATTTTATGTGGCTGCATGTGGCTAGTGACTACTGCATTACAGAACAACTCCAGAGAATATGAAAGTCCTTTTTAAATATATTTTTTTCAGTTGTAGTTGGATACAATACCTTTATTTATTTATTTTCATAAATAAATATGGTGCTGAGAATCGAACCCAGGGCCTCGCACGTGCTAGATGAGTGCTCTAACACTGAGCATCTCCCCAGCTAAAAAAGGACTACCCTATTTAAAGTCCTTTTTTTAACTACTGAGTTTTCCCTTCCACTTTCTCCCCAAATCCAAGGAAAGAGTCAAAGTTACAAAAACTCTCCCTACTCTCATCCATGTTATCTAAAAGCATCTCATCCAGAACTTCCTTAAATTCCCCCAAATGTATTAATTTAGTTTACTAAGTAAGTGGTAAGGCTACAGTTATCCACATGGTAGGATTATAGGACCCTGGCACTTAAAAGAGGACAATGCTATACACCCCTTATTATCAAGCAATACAATTAAACTCTCAATAATGTACTATTTCTTCTTTTGTTTGGGGTTGGATACCAGAGATTGAATTCAGGAGCACTCGACCACTGAGCCATATCCCCATATTTATAGACAGGATCTAACTGAATTGCTTAGCACCTCATTTTTGTTGAAGCTGGCTTTGAATTCATGATCCTCTTTCCTCAGTGTCCTGAGCTGCTAGGATTATAGGCATGCACCACCATGCCCGGCTCAATAATGTACTTTTATTTTTTTTGGTACTGGAGATTAAATCCAGGGTGCTTAACCACTGAGCCACATCCCCAGCCCTTTTTTTATATTCTACTTAGAGACAGGGTCTCACTGAGTTGCTAAGTACCTCACTAATCTATTGAGGCTGGCTTTAAACTCGAAATCCTCCTGCCTCAGCCTCTCAATTTCTGGGATTACAGGCATGTGCCACCATGCCTGGCTTCAATAATGTACTCTTAATTAAGATTTCTGAAAGAATTAAAAACAAACAAAAAACTGGGCTGGGGCTGTAGCTCAGTGGCAGAGTTCTTGCCTAGCATGTGTGAGGCACTGGGTTCCATCCTCAGCACCACTTAAAAAAAAAAATAAAATAAAATAAAGGCATCCTGTCTATCTACAACTACAAAAAATTCAAAAGGAAATAATCACACAAAATGATAATCGTTTTAGTAACAAACTTCCAAAATGAGTGGGTTACAAATTATTTCCTGTGGTGCCCAAAGTGATCTTTTTTTTTAAAATATAATATGTACTCTTTTTTTTTTAAAGAGAGAGAATTTTTTTTTAATATTTATTTTCCAGTTTTCGGCAGACACAACATCTTTATTTGTATGTGGTGCTGAGGATCGAATCCAGGCCGCATGCATGCCAGGCGAGCGTGCTACCTCTTGAGCCACATCCCCAACCCCCCAAAGTGATCTTTATGCTGTCATTGTTCCTCTCTTCCCTCTCAAAATGGGCGTAGAGGATTGAAATTATTTCGAGATCAAGGAATAACCAAAGGAGGCAGTACTGCTTGGCAATCCCAGAAAGAAAAAAAAATAGGTAGGTCTCCCATGAAAAGTGAGTCTAGGTCCCATTGTGAAGCAGATAGAGCCTTCAGAGAAAAGAAGGCAGCAAGAGTCTGCCACACTTAAGCATCAAAAACCAAGAACCAGCAGCACAGGGGGGAACACAGGCAGGGTTGAAGAAACAAGTAGCAAACTGATTTCGCCAAGGCTAATAAATGTCAATTACTTTTTTCATTATGAATAAATATATTCTGAATAAATATATGTGCATGTGATACCAATTGATCTAAATATGACAAGAACAGAGCATAACCTCCCTTCTTGGGAAGAGCACACTTCCATATGATATATATTCAAATTGACTAAAGAATCTCAAAATTTTGGGGCTTGGAGTATATAGTTCAGTAGTAAAACATATGCTTGGTATATGCAAGGCCCTGGGTTTGATTCTCAGCTCCACAAAAAAAAAAAAAGAAAGAAAGAAAGAAAAAGAAAAAAAAATCTGAAAACTCTAAGGTTTTCTATTATTGAATTTACTTTTGTAACCTCTGACACCAGTGGTTTTCAACCTCTGGCAAGCCATCAGCCTTGCCCAAGGGATTCTGGGGAGAAAAAAAAAAGTTCACACTGCTGAACTCTACCCTTGAATATTCTAATTTAGTGGGGTGTGGGGCAAATCCCAACATCTGTATTTTGATACCTATGACAGGTGGCTCACTGTACCTTAAAGGCTGAAGAGCAATGCCTCATACTAACAAAGCCACGATTAGCCATGCCTGTGATTAAGGAAGCTGACCAAAGGGCTCCACAAGGTCTTTAAAAACAGCCTCATCCCAGGTTGTGTCCAGAGATAGACAGTGATGTGGACCACCCAGGCCTCATGAGTACCTGGATCCCGGGACTGGCTATCATCACAAATGTGCAGGTCCAGGCGGGAGATGAGCAGATGGTAGGAGGACTCTTTCACATCAAATTTCTCAAAGTACTGGCTGAGCCGGCTGCTGCTGCTGCTGCTGTTTCCCTGGCTGCCACCAAACGCCTGGGCCCAGGACTGCTGGGCACTGGGAGGAGGTGGAGTGATCTATATGTGACAGAAAAAAACAAAAAAAATCAAGAATCTAGACCCTGAAAGGCTCCTTTGTATGTTTTCTTTAATTAGCCCTGCCCAAATAAATCCATAGTTTAGGAAGATGCCCCTTCCCTCTTCATTGGCTAGCACTGTAAAATCGACACACCAATGGAGAGGACAAATGAAATATCAGATGCAAGCCAGCCTATGAGCATCTATCAGTAAATGATAAATCCCCCAAATAAGCCAATAAAGTCTCAATTCCACCTACACTGATACAAACAGATCTGGCATGCCATCTCCCCAGCCCCACCAAGGGTGCCCATTTGGTCTCCAACCTGGACAGGTTCAGGGGCCAGGCTCTTTCTTTGCTGGGCCGACTTCTCCATGGCCTCACTCAGAGATTCGGCATACTTCATCATGGCCTTGAGCTGTGAGTCCGTTAGCACCCAGAGCAGGTCATCCAACAGGAACATCAGCTTGGAGGCTATCACATTACAATCTTTGGTCTGAGAGGGTCACAGAGAACACGGGTTTACCACTTTGTATCATTCTATCTCCTCAAAGTGACTGGCGTCTGATCAGTTTTAAAGAGGTGCCTTTCACTCTCCAGGATAAAAGAATAAAGCACTTTGAAAAGACTATTTCTTAAAAAACTACTTCAGTTTGCTGATTAACCATCAACTGTGAAGTGCCTTGTCAGTGTGCCCATATATAAACATTGTAGTTTTCTTTCTTTTTTTTTTTTGGGGGGGGGAGGCCAGGGGGAGTTACCAGGGATTGAACCCAGGGGTGCTTAACCATTGAGCCACATCCCCAGCCCTTTTATTAGAGACAGGGTCTCACTGAGTTCCTTTGTGCCTCACTAAGTTGCTGAGGCTGGCTTCAAACTCACAATCCTCCTGCTTCAGCCTACTGAGCCTCTGGGATTATAGGCGTGTACTACTGCACCCAGCAACAATGTAGTTTTCAAAATTAAGAAAATAAAGAGATGGAAACTTTCTCTCACTGGTGAGTATTGTGCCATCCCTGTTCAGCTGTCATTCCAAGGATCAATGACATTCCAAACAATATGGGAATACCAACTCCCAGGTTGTCCAGGACACTAAAAGACAAAAGTATTCATGAGGGCAGAGAACACACTTACTCTTCTCTTGAGGGCTATTTGGATCCGGCCTTGGTTGGTAATAAGTCTCAGTGGGGTGGTGATTGGGTCTTGATCTCCATTATCTGTAGCATCTGCCTCAATTCGAAGTGTCTGCCAAGTTATTTCCTTAAATGTTAAAACCTGAGAGTATAGAGAAAAAAAAATAAACCTTCTGTAGAAGAAATTAACCAAGACAGGATTCTAAGGGGAAAAGACTGGCAAGACAGAGACTCCCACCATTCTCAGTTGGGACTCTAACAGAAAGCAGTGAGTCGAAGGCCCTACCTGAGGGAAGAAGGAGTAATAACACGGTACAGAAAGGGTTCTGGGGTTCCCAGGGATGGGGAACATTTGAGGAAGTCTCCAAAGCAGAAATAATACCATCTAACAATTTATCCAACTTTGAGTACACCCCTTTCTCTCCCCTCAAAATGCTAGGGCTGTCACCTCTCCTCGGCGGGGATCAGTGATGCGAGTCAGACGAAGGTCACTCTGTTGCCAGTTAGGGTTGACACTGTAACCCTGGAGCTGCCATAATTCAAAAGAAGCATGGAAGGCCTTGGAGTGAATCTTGATGGTGATGGAATTGACGATGATGAACATCCCCTCCACTACCTTTTCAGCAAAGCCATACTCACTACAACAAATGAGACAGACCAATGATGAGAATCATGGGAGTTTGGGGGGTATTTTTGTTGTTGTTGTTGTTGTTGTTTTAATATTTATTTTTTAGTTTTAGGTGGACACAATGTCTTTATTTTTTTTTTTTTAATGTGGTTTGAGGATCAAACCCAGCACCCTGCGCATGCCAGGCAAGCGCGCTACCGCTTGAGCCACATCCCCAGCCCCTGTTGTTGTTTTTTTTTAAGTTGTAGACAGACTCGATACCTTTATTTTATTTATTTATTTTTATGAGGTGCTGAGGATCGAATCCAGGACCTCGCATATGCCAGGCAAGTGCTCTACCACTGAGCCACAACCCCAGCCACCCATAGGAGATTTGATGCAATCTTTACTCTGGAACACATTAGATCAAGCTATTGGGTGCTAGAAGTATGAGTGCTTAGTTTTCTTTTCTTGTTGCTTTTATGATTTCTAAATTTTTATTGTGATGATAAATGGTGATAACAAATTATCTTTTTCTTTGTTGTTTTTGTGGTGCTGGGGATTGAACCCAGGGCCTTGTGCATGCTAGGCAAGAACGTTACCATTGCGCTACATCCTAGCCAAAGTACAAAGAATTCTTTTTAATGGTATTTTTTCTCCTGTACTGGGATTTAAACCCAGGGGGCTCTCTACCACTGAGTTATATTTCCAGCCTTTTTTTCATTTTTATATCAAAACAGGGTCTTATTCAAGGTCCAGGATGGCCTTGAATCCTCCTGCCTCAGCTTGAGATTACAGGCATGCACCACTGCACCCAACTTTTAATGGGATTTTTTTTTTAAACAATGGAATTTTAAAAAAGAAAATAACCAATTAAGATTGCCTGGAAGCAATCTTCCTCCTTTTAGAATAAATTGATAAATCTATATATAGTTCACAAACTACCTGAATAAACATTTAGATATTATCTGTGCAGAAAGAAGAACGTTAGATTTCTACAAAATCCTCAAAGACAAAGAATACTCTGCAAAGGAAGTGGAAAGAAAGATGAAAGAAATACAGCAAGTGATTTAATACTGTGAATCCACTCAAGGACAGTTTCACCTTTGCCAGTCTAATACTTCCCAAAGAGCAGTGAAAAGCCAGCAATGAGCAATGGCCAAGAAAGAGGAACAAAAAATATCTTTTTTTTCCCTTTGGTACCAGGGATTGAACCCTGGGGGGTTTAGCCACTGAGCCACATCCCCAGCCCCTTTTTAACTTTGTTTTTTGTTTTAGAGACAGGGTCTCACTAAGTTGCAGAGGCTGGCTTTGAACTTGCAATCCTCCAGTCTCAGTCTCCCAAGCCACTGTGATTATAGGTGTGTATCACCACACCTGGCATAAACAACATCTTAAAAGTCCCTCTGAATACAGAAACACAGTCATTCTTAAAATGTAGGTGAAATCACCTCTCATTACAAAAACCAAAAAGGATTCAAACTAAAAATTCATACTAAAAATTTTTATATATTTGCAATTTGTTCACAAAGAACTAATAAAAAGACCAAGAGCCCAGCCAGGCATGTGGTGCACCCCTGTATTCCCAGCGACTTGAGAGACTAAGGCAGGAGGATCACAAATTCAAGGCCAGCTAGGGCAATTTAGTAAGACCCTGTGACCCTGTCTCAAAATGAAAAAGGGCTGGGGATATAGTTCAGTGGTAACGTGCCTTGGGTCAATTCGAGTACCAAAAAAAAAAAAAAAGAAGAAGAAGAAGACTAAAGGAAAAACAGATGAGCCAAGAACCCAACAAAAACGGAATAAAGTATGGGAAGTTCAAAGAAAAATAAATGCAAATAGCTATTAAACATAAAATGATGCTGGACCCTACTCATAAATCAAAACTACATTGAGAATCACTTAATTTACGACAAAGGTGACAGTACAATGGGGAAAAGAAATCTTTTCAGTAAACGGTCCATGGTCAGTTTGGGATATTCATAAAGAGAAAAAATAATATTGACCCCTATGCTACATCAAATAAAAAAATCAGTTTCAAGCCTCTACCCTCTTCCTCTCTTCCTCTCTGCCCTCTTCCTCTTCTTTCTCTCCACTCTCTGCTCTCTTTCTCTCCCTCTCTGCCCTCCTCCTCTCTTCTCTCTGCTCTCTGCCTCTCCTTTTCTTCCTCTTCAGGCAGCCCCCCAATAAAATCTCTTGGTTGAAAAAAAAAATCAGTTTCAAGATAGATTGGAGCCAAAGCAATCCTTACTAAGAAGAGTGAAGCAGGAGACATCACAATAGCAGACTTTATACTACAGAGCTATAGTAACAAAACTGGCATGGTGTTGGCACCAAAACAGATCAATGGTAGGTAGACCAATGGTTTAGAATAGAGGACACAGGACCAGGCACAGTGGTGCATGGCTGTAATCCAAGTCGCTCAGGAGGCTGAGGCAGGAAGACCAGTAGTTCAAACCCAGCCTCAGCAATGGCAAGGCAGTAGGCAACTCAGTGAGACCCTGTCTCTAAATAAAATACAAAATAGGGCTGGGGATATGGCTCAGTGGTCGATTGACCCTGAGTTCAATTCCCAGTACCCCCCACCCCCCCCAAAAAAAAAGAATAGAGTACACAGAGACTAACCCACATAAATACAGTTATCTCATACCAGACAAAGGTGCCAAAACATACATTGGAGAAAATGGTGCTGAGAGAACTGGAAATCTATATGCAGCAAAATGAAATTAAACCTCTATCTCTCACCCTCTCTCAAGGACCTAGGAATTAGACCAGAGACTCTGCACCTAATAAAAGAAAAAGCAGGTCCAAATTTTCACTGTGTCAGATTAGGCCCCAACTTCTTTAACAATACTCCTAAAGTACAAGAAATAAAATCCTAAATCAATAAATGGGCTGGATTCAAACTGAAAAGCTTCTCTCAGCAAAAGAAACAATCAGTGAGGTAAACAGAGAACCTACAAAATAGGAGCAAATTTTTACTATATACACATCAGATAAAGCAAGGATATATAAAGAACTCAAAAAACTTCACACACACACACACACACACACACAAAACAAATAACCCAATCAATAAATGGGCTAAGGAAATGAGCAGACACTTCACAGAAGATATACAATGAATCAACAAATATATGAAAAAATGTTCAACATCTCTAGCAATTAGAGAAATGTAAGGCAAAACTAAATCTCCAGTCAGAATGGCAATTATCAAGAATTCAAGCAACAATAAGTGCTGGCGAGGATATGGGGAAAGGGTATTCTGATTCATTGCTGGTGGGATTGCAAAATGGTGCAACCACTTTGGAAAGCAGTATAGAGACTCCTTAGAAAACTTGGAATGGAACCACTCTTTGATCCAGCTATTCCACTCCTTGGTCTACCTATACCCAAAGGACGTAAAATCAACAGAGGAATGGATAAAGACAATGTGGTACATATACACAATGAAATATTACTCAGCCTTAGAGAAGAATGATATTATGGCATTTGCAGGTAAATGAATGGAACTAGAGAACATCATGCTAAGTGAAATAAACCAAGCCCAAAAAACCCAAAGCCAAATATTTTCTCTGATAAGCAGATGCTGATCCATAGTGGGGCAGGTGGGTATAGGGAAGAATGAAGAAACTTTGGTTTGTGTAGAGGGAAGTCAGGGGAGGTTTGGGTTGTGGGGATGGGAAGGATAGTAGAAAGAGACAGACATTATTACCCTATATACATGTATGATTACACTAGTGGAGTGACTCTGAACCGTGTACAGCCAGAGGAATGAGAAGTTGTGCTCCATTTGTGTGCTATACGTCAAAATGCATTCTACTGTAAAATTAATTAATTAATTAATTTTAAAAAGAGACATTTCCAAAGAATATAATTTTTTTGATGGGGGGGGGCGGTTTACTGGCATTTCTCAGCCACCTACAAACTGACCAGTCAAAATCTCGAACTGGGGTATGTGGTTCCCTAGTCAATTCTCTTCCAAAGGGCCATGTCTTTGCTTTGTAGAATAGGCATTACATGGCATCACCTGAGCCCTCTCATTACCAACTTCTCTTACTTAACACAGGTACCCTTCCACTACACATACCCAGAGAGCCCAGGCACAGGAGCAATCCCATGATGCACTTATTTTCTCCTAGACTTGGATGTCTCATATTTGCTGGAATTTTTCCATAACAACTCCACACCTTGATAATTCCCAACAAGAATTGGTTCCAGCCCACACAACACAGTGCTTTCCTGACTTCTTACTTAGGAAATAATAGGTAATTATAAAGGAGGATTCTACAACCATGTCCATTGTTCCCTTCCTCCTTCCAGCAAGAGCACCTCAAAAATTTCATCCTTTCATGCATTTTTTTTCATTTAAATTAAAATCATGACCCCAATCTTGTTTTAAAAAAAAACTCTTCTTTGACTTAAACCCAGAACCTCCTTCTAATGTGCATCTTTCCTTGTCCAGTATTCTAGACTTACAGCTCAACTACAGTTCTTCCCCAAAGAGGGAGATTGCATTATTTTGTCTTTGAAAGGATTCTTTGCAGTTTTTTAATGCACTAGAACTACTCTGACTCTTCTATCTGAAATCAGCTTCTCTATTATTCATTTTCTTTTTGGTGCTCATTACTTCCTAATATAAAATCACATATTTGATAACTTATTTCATACTTATCTCTTTTGTCCATATTATAAGTTTTTGATGATAGAATTTTTAAATGTCTGTATTCCTATCACATAGAATACTGGCCAAATATTGTAGCCACTCAATAAATATTTGTGCAGTAAATATATATATTTTAAAAATCAGCATACTACAGTATGCAGCCACCTCAAGTTTATAACAGCTCAATTCACAATAGCTAAACTGTGGAACCAACCTAGATGTCCTTCAATAGATGAATGAATAAAGAAACTATGGTATATATACACAATGGAATATTACTCAGCATTAAAAGAGAATAAATTATGGCATGTGCAGGTAAATGAATGGAGTTGGAGAATATCATGCTAAGTGAAGTAAGCCAATCC